AGATCGCTGCACGACAAAAATGGCGCTTCCAAAGCTATCCAAGGAAGTTTACGAGCTCGAAACGGACGATGTCCACATCGAATATTGCCTCGACATTCCCGACATGGCAAAGCTCTGGTTCGAAAAACACCCGGAATGGCCGATCATTGGCGCGTGGGTAGTAGACCAAGGAGCATCCTTGATGCAAAACATCGGATTTTATAAATGGGGTAAGTCAATGCTGCATTGAGCACACCATCGCGACCGCCAAACATCTCCACACCACAGCATGCAGAAGATCTCTCCTCCTCTAATTTGCCTGTGGAAATGTCTTCTTTCCGCAGCACCTTGTTGATTCCTCTTCCTTTTTCCTTGAATAGTGTGAGTCCCTTGCTTCCTAGATTTCCAGACGTCGACGTCACGTTAACGAACCCGCGTGTTTCGTAAATATTACCTTTTACCTCTTACCTCTTACCTCTGAGTTGTCGTTGCCCTACAGTAGAGGATACTCGTGTGCGAAATAATCGTAAAAATTATGTCGCACGACCTTTTCGTTGTTCGTTGTTCTCTCCGCCTCCTGTCCTCCGAATATTACGACACACGTATGCTGCGTGCCTTTGCAACAGCCAAGACCTTTGTCCGGGCAGTTACTGCCATCTGGTCTGTACTGTCTTCTGGCTCGTGCTCGGCTGACCAATATTCACACTGCTGGCGGTGTCGCGTTGACCTTGTATCATTAAGTGTATACTAGAGCACGTACATCATATTATACATATGATATACGCGCGCTCTGTTTATACACTCAACGCGCGCGCGACACTGCGACGTTCGGCCTTTCACGCCGTTTCTACTTTTCGCGCGACCAGGTTCGCACGAGGCACGCCGGAAGGTGATTGACAGCTGCATTCAAGGTGACAATAAGGAGAGTACAATGTACTCGATGATGAAGATGGGGCCAATGATGCGTGCGATTCGGTTCAGCACCTATCAAAAGCTGCTCGACATAGACAGCGATATGCCAACAAAGCCAGGTACACACACACACACACACACACACACACACACACACACACACACACACACACACACACACACACACACACACACACACACACACACACACACACACACACACACACACACACACACACACACACACACACACACACACACACGA